CACCTGGCCAGAAGACGCACAGGTGCAGAGATGTCCAACCTGGGCAGCACCTCGACCGCTCTCCCCTCCTCTCAGTGAGACTGCGAGCTCTCTCTGCCGTCTCAGGACAGGATCTGCACATGTCGATGGTGCACGCCGTGCAGGGGCCAGTCCTTCCATGATTGGCCGTCCTCTTGCTCTTCTTTCTCAGGTTTCTCCTGCCTGACGTATCCACTAAGCATGTGATCATGTCAACATGTGTGCTTGTTGTCTCATCCTGGATCATGGTTTTGACACTCACCAGTCCTCGGCCAGCTTTCTTTTGCTTACCGTACAGTCTTGGGGGGCTGGACTTGGGCGAAACCTTCCTCGCATGGTAAGGACGTTTCTTGCCTTGATGTCACCGGCTTCTATCTCCTCCTCTGGCCAGCTGATTATCCCAGCAGAGTACCTGATTATCAGCAGGGCGTAGGTCTTGATAGCCCAGATCTTGTTCTTCCCATTCAACCGATGGTGGTTGCATTTTTCCTAGCAGCCTCTTCGTGGTCCCCACTTGCCTGAAGGTATCCCAGGTACTTGTAGCTGCCCTCATTGTCTGCAGTGTTGCCTTCTGGTAGTGCGATTCCCTAATTTCTACCTTCCCTCGCTTTGTTACCATCGGACTACACGTCTCCAGACCAAATGACTGTTGTTGCTGTAGATCTTCAAGTCTCGTGGAGAAGGTGGCTGCTTTGCTCTGTTCTGTAGTCGGTATCCGTAGCCAGTCTCGTCAGTGATCTCAGTCGGGGGGTTTAGGGCTGTGCAGAGCAGCAGTGGGGACAGAACGTCTCCTGTACTTGATGGTGATTTGCACTATTGGCCTAAAGTTGGCCTGTAGTGTCGTTCGCCACATCCCCATCAAATTCCTTTCAGTTCCCTGCTCATGTATTGAGGCATGTGCCTGTTATTCATAGCTTCTGTGATGCCTGACAGGAGCGTGCATGTGGTGCTGAGGCAGGTTATTGGACGGTATTTGGATGATCAGGCGATCAGGACTGTCTGTGTCTCATCTGTTAGCAGCTGGTTCATTTTAGCTGCTCATGAAATGAAGCCAATGTGTGAGTTCGGTAAGGAAGCTCTGTGACTCTCCCTTGCAGACGCCTTCGTGCAACCCACCTCCTCCCCATCACCGCCTCTCTCGTCACTCAGGCTGCATTCAAGCCTCCATCTTTATCTCCACCATATTCGTTCTCATATTGTTCCCGTGCCACTGAGAGTACACCTTGGATGGTTCAGTGGAGAACAGCTGGTTTATTCTCTTGCCTTCTGTCTCTTAGGTGTACCTCTTCAAGCAGCTGGCCAGGGCTGAGAGTCTTTGGCAGTTTTTAAGGCCTCAGGTGTGGGCTTCTCAGGTATCCCTTTCTTCATCACATCTTTCTGCAGCTCCAACAGTTGGTTGAATTCCTTCCTCCAGCCTTCCTCCTGGCCTCTAGTCTCCATCTGCATGGAGGATACTGGTTCTGGTGGCTGTTCATCTTGTAGCCGAGCATCTCAATAATCACTGCTGCCACGGTGCAGATCGGCTGGCTTGTTTTGGTGATGGTCACAGTTGGGATTGTCTGTAATGCTGCGTTCACATTTTCTAGTAGACCATCAGAGGGTTCACACGTTGGTGTCTGCTTCACGCTGAAGCGCTGGGCGAGCTGCTTCCACAGACTGAATGAACCGGGTCAGGAAAACCTCTAATCTTCATTTTATTTTTTGGACCCACAGAGTGTGGAACGGTGGTTATGTGGCAGTAAGTGTCACTTTCACACATGCAAAAAAACAGAAACAAAACAAAACAAAAAAGTATTTTTAAAGGTACTTTTTGTAATCAAACTGTAGACGTTTTCAATTTCACCACCAGGAGGCGCTGTTCTAGATACTGCTGTGTTTAGATGTTTGCTTGTTTGTTTTTAGCTTTTTTCTTTTTAGCTCCATTACGAGGTTTCGGATTTTTCCAGCCAGACTTTATGAAGACGAACGACTGCCCTGGCTAACTCACTGCACCACCATGTGGTACAAACTGGTATTACAGCCCAGCACAAGCTCTGCATTTCTTCAGTGTGTTAATGCTTCGTTCCATTCTGGAAGGTTTTAAACAGCTTTTTAAACAAATAAGCACATTTTAATATCTGTGAGCATGCAAACACAAGGCCTGCACTGATTAAAGACCAGCCAGCCTTGTTCACGTGCAGTCACACTTAAATAGGTT